ACAGATCACGTAAATATGTAGGGCCTGTAACGTCTGGAATTAGGGATGATAATAACAATATTCTGACCGATCCGGTTGACATATTGAATAAGTTTAAGGACCACTTTGACAATACTTTAAATACGGTAAATTATGATCTGTGTCCTCCTTCTGAGTACCAGAGTGCTGAACCATTAATAGAAGGACCAAGTAAAGAGGAAGTTGAAGTAGCTATCGGAAAATCATATAAAGCAGCGGGAATCGATAATATTCCTACTGAACTAATTAAGGCATGCGGAGAAGCTGGAGTTTCTAAAATACATCGGTTGGCTAAAAAGATCTGGGTGAACGAGAAATTACCTGAAGAATGGAAAGAATCTATTCTTATTCCGATTCACAAAAAGGGTCCGAGGACGGATTGTAATAACTATCGAGGAATTTCATTGCTTCCGGTATGTTATAAAATATTCACTTTAATCTTAACCAGTCGAATCACGGAATACGCCGAGGAAATTATCGGAGACTACCAATGCGGATTTAGACGGAATCGTTCGACTATTGATCAAATATTTTCTTTACGGCAAATATTAGAGAAAAAATTGGAGTATAACGGTATTGTTCACCAGCTGTATATAGATTTTAAAAAGGCTTACGATTCTATTGACCGCCAGAAACTGTATAATATTCTAATCGAGCAGGGGATTCCAAAAAAACTAGTAAATTTAGTCAGGATGTGCTTGACGGAGACACTCAATAAAGTTAGAATCGGTAATAATTTGTCCGAAAAATTTGAGGTTCGTTCGGGCTTAAAACAGGGGGATTCTCTTTCGCCTGTCCTGTTCAATTTGGCATTAGAACATGCCATTAGGGAAGTAATGCGAACCGAGAAAGGGTTGGATCTGGGTGGGACAACATCCGTGCTGGGCTATGCTGATGATCTGGTACTATTAAGCGAAGACGTTGAAACTATAAAACTAAATACGACAACGTTAATGAAAGCCGGTAAAGAACTAGGACTCGAAATAAACGTGGATAAAACAAAATATATGGTTAGCTGCAAAAATGGCGATACTACTGGTGATATCGATATAGATGGTAATATTTTTGAACAGGTAGATAAATTTAGGTATCTAGGTTCTACGATAACTAGAAAAAACGAAATTGAAGAAGAGATTAAGGTTAGACTGAAGGCGGGGAATGCTTGTTATTTTTCTGTGACAAAACTACTTAGTTCGCGCCTCTTGTCCCGAAACTTAAAAATTAGAATCTATAAAACAATTATCTTGCCTACAGTTCTTTATGGATGCGAAACTTGGCCGCTTACATTAAGGGATGAGCAGCGTCTTAAGGTTTTTGAAAATAAAGTATTGCGTAGAATATTCGGACCGAAGAAGGATGAGTTAACCGGAGAGTTCAGACGGTTACACAACGCCGAATTGCGTGAGATGTATCCGGGTAATATAATTGAGGTAATTTCATCGCGGCGAATCAAATGGGCTTGTAAAGTTGTTGGGCTTAGTAACGAGAGAATTCCTAAAAGGTTAATATTTGCTGCGCCGAATGGTAAGCGTCCGAGGGGAAGACCGAAGCGAAGGTGGGAAGATTGCATTAAAGCCGATCTGAAGGGACTGGGTTTGGACGGCGAACGGTGGAGGGAGGTGTGTAACAAGCAATTGGTGGTGTCGGCATCGAACCTTCGGGTTCGCTAAGCCTTATTATTATTATTATTAAATATAAGTGTATTGTACAAGTTTTTAAATATAAAATTATGGTCAATTCGATAATAATCAATACTTTTTATTACTACAGAACTAACCATAAGGCAAATAAATAAGTGTGAAAATATATTGAGAATAAAGGTAAAAACTGAAAAATGGAAAATAAAATTATTGTGAATAGCATAGGTGTGTACCAGGGAGCATGTCGTCTAAATGAGAATGAGGAAACAAACTATTGCAAAAACTCTGTTATCGAAATAGCGTAGATTTAGATTTTTCATTCCCAACTATTAATTAAAACAGCTGAGGTCGAATAAATGAGGTAGATATACAATCTCTTCAAGATAAGTAGATATATTACCACGACAAAGCATTGGTTTTCCTCGAAGGTTAGTTCGGCAATCCTCTCACTGATAGTGGACCCCGATAAAAAAAAAAAAAAGCGTACACAGGGTACCAAACGGAGCTGTATCTTATAATATGTAATCGTATTATCTATTATCAGATAATTACTAACATAAGTTTACGTTAATATATAACGATGAAGTTTTATAAGTATAGACGGTCACATTGTGTCAATTTGAGTTTCTGACTTAAATCTTAATAATTATTATATTCTTAGCCTTTTTTATTGCGGAGTTTCTTGCAGTTGTGACTGAAGAGGAATTGATAAGTCATTGTTGCAGAGGAGATTCCGATTCCCAACATGTAACTGGAGGGGTTAGATGAATTCTTCATGGGCTTCATACTGTACATGACTTGCAGTCCTACCTCTCCTTGCGAATGAGAAGAGCTTCCTGCAGGTCTTATAGTACAGAATACATTAAGTCATTATTTATCAATATTATATGGTTATGTATTCCCTTGCTAGTTCCATTAATGGTTTTCATCATTTCCGCTATCTCTTGATAACGTCATTCAATCATAGGCTGTGATGCAGGCCCCTTTATATCGAATTATTAACATTCTCCTGAAACTTCGTAAATAGATTCTTCCCATCGTAACCTACAACTGTTTTATTTACGGAAATTCTCAGAATTGGGGCATTTTTAATTTGCAGCACTGCAAACTTTGTCCATTTCATTAGGTACTAAAAACTCATAAATACTCATTTGCATTCACTTGAATCGTAAGATAATTTGAGCACAAACTCGAGAACAAATTTTGTCCTTTAAAAATATTGAGCCGTTTGACGTGACCCACATCTACAAAACGTCCAAATAATAAGGAGATTATATAGGCCATACGGCCCAATATTTTTGTAGGCCACGTTTTTTCTCAATGAACGAATTGCAATAATCCACATTGATATTAGATCTCACTTCAAAACAGACTCATTCCATGTTTTTTTTTCGGTATGTGAAATTCGAATTTCAACATAAAAATCAGCTCTAGTTTCATAGATGTAGTTATTTTTTGCCTAATATGGGAAAATTATGTTATGGTCCAAGTGGAAAACAATTGGGTATTTAAGAGTTTTTAGTATCTAATTAAATAGACAAAGTTTGCCGACGTCCAGATTAAAAACGCCCAATTCCAAGAGTTTTCGTAAATAAAATATTGTTAGGTTACGATAAGATGAAGCTATTCACGAAGTTTCAGGCGGATGTTAATAATTTAACAAAAAAGGAGCCTGTACCACTATCATAGCAGATACAGTCAATATTTATAAATAAATATAAAATAACACTACATAATAATAAAATCCTATTAATTATTTGTTTTTATCACTTCATTTTTGTTTATTTATCTTATTTAAAAAGATTTAGAGGAGCAGTATTATTCAATTATTTATATTGGCTTCCCTTGGTAGCAGCTCTAAATAAAACAGTACAAAGAAAAACAAAGATTTTTATTAATAAATGCCTTGGGAAATTTTCTTTATTTTTGTTTTTTATAAATACCTTGTTATAGAGTTTTTATATAGATTATTTTTCTAGAATTATACCATAATTTTAAAATAATCTGATATTTGCTCCTTTATAATTTTTAGGTATAACACATTATATATGCTCATAATTAAAATTAGGAGAAGATTAAATAAAGATGTTAATTTTTATTTTAATAAGGGAAAGGAAATAATCGGTTTATTTTGGATACGCATTCTATTTATTATGCTTTCGGAGAATTATTGTTGAAGAGAATCCAGAAAGGGGATATTTTCAATAAAGATTTTTTTTTTTTAATTTTTATAGTATTTCTTTTAAAGTTATAGAACAATGTAGTTATTTCTCCATGTACTTCATAATTATATTAATAATAGTAAAATCATCTAAAATATAAAAATTATTTAAGCTTACAAAATAGTTATGTCGAGTTAAAATAACACCCATAATATTCATTTATAACATTTTAAACTTGAAATATTTCACATTTCATAAATAAATTATAAATCAGTAATGAATTTAATTAATTGTATTTTTGAAATTGTGCAATTCTCTAACTTCTTATAATCAGCTTATCCTATATACATCTAAAAATATGTATCCAAAGTTTAACGCATACATGTTGCGTACATGCTCATTTGAAATTGTTCTGTTAATTTATGAAAGCCTTATTGGTTAATATAGTCATGTTTTTATATTTTAAATATAATTTATTGCAATTCAAATGTCATAAATTATATTTCTATGAGCCAATACAGTTATCAGAACTAATAACGCAATAGTCAGATGAGATAAAGATAACTAACTACATGATTAAAAACAAAATAGAAAAATCACTAAAAATCTGTATTAAATACAACTTTTATTCATAAATTATTCCAAGCTATAATTTATGAATCTGATCATACTTATAAAAATTATTTATTGCTACTACAACTTTCATTTTGATTTTTTATTTCTTAAAATAATAAAAAGAATAAATCCTTTCTTTAAAAATAAAAGCTAAACTGAAAAAAAATAATAATTTGTAGCAATACAAACATTTACAACGTTAAAATACAACTATTATTAATTTTAATGAAATATGATACAAAAATGCTATAGCTATTTGATACAAAAATACTATAATACAAATATTATAATACAATATTATAACCAATACATTTTTTTTTATTTATGAAAAATCAAAGAACATATAATGATTTAAAGTAAAATATGCAATTATCAACCAATACATTTACATATTTGAGGATGACTTTTTATATACAAGGAAAGAAAATGGGAAGATATTTATAATTTAATATCCATAAATTATTAAGATGATTTTCAATTATCATTTTCAAAGGGTTAGATTTCTGTAAAAAAAATATACATTTATTTAATGCTCTCATTACAATAATACCATCTCACCTATGGCTTATGTATGGTTCTTGTGTATAACCCATACGTTTATCCTTTTCGCACTTGAAGGACTACCCTCAACGTCTTTTAAATCGGTGTCGTCATCAATATCCGGAGGACGCGCAAGAAAAGAGCTGATACTGAAATTGAATTTGGTATTAAAAATTATGTAAGCTTATTTGTTAGTTACTCAAAATATAAGTTAGCAACTCAAAAAATTCTCAAGAAAATTACCTCAGAAGAATAAAAATAACAAGATTCGCAAATGAACTAATTCCGAAAAAAGTTCCTGGATATAACTGATACGTCAAATTAAAAGTATCTGCGTACGTTTTATGTATGAAACCCGTTATGATGCTTTGTATGATTGAAGCCATTCCGAGAAATTGTCCTGAAACGAAATTTAACGTTTTAAATTTTGCATGTGACTTAAAATTTATGTAATATATCATTAAGAGTACTATTATTTCAATTAATAATTTAATGAATAATTAGCTTAATTAAAAATAATAATTTAAGCCAGTTTTGTTTTAGAAGTTATGGCGCCTTATGGCATCTTCTTTTGGTGAACTTTAATACATTGAGATTATGTTAGATTTAACGCAAGACTAAACTAACCTTTGATTCAGTAACCAGCTCAAGACAATGATTATTTTAAGACTAATAAATAATTTTAAATTGGTATTCAAATTGTACTAACCTAGTTCATGATCTTTAACACTCTTGCTTATAATAGATTGAGGTATCGAAAGCAAAACACACTTCAGTAGGCCGAGGTAAACCACTAAAATAAACCAATTAATCATTAAAAATAAGATACACTTATATTTAGATACTCCATTTATCAATCTATACTACATGTAATGAAAAATAATTTTATTCTGCTTCTAAAGTCCCCTTAGAAAAATAGCAGAGTTCAGAAAATATGTACATCAGTCTGACATGTAGATATAATAGAAATATATACTAAAAATACTAAGAAAAAAACAAATATATATATATATATATATATATATATATATATATATATATATATATATATAAAATGCTAAGGAAAATTCAAATGTAATCATTGTATAATTATAACATACTAAATCTAAATAATTGTATAAAATGTCCTTATTTATTTCACTTTAAACGTTAGTGTTTGATATTTATTATTTTATAAGGTATTTATTATTTTTATATTATTTATTGAACACGTCTACTGTTTATGTATATATTAATTTTATTTAGTTTTTTTATTGTTAGTACAATTTTATTTTATTTTCCTTGTCATTATTGAATAACTGTCATCAGAAAATATGAATTAGGTTAGAAAGGGAGAGTAAAAAATACGAGGAGGAACAAGAAAAATGTATTAGGGGAGAGAAGGGAAAGAAAAGGATATAGAATGTTAATTAGTTCTATCTTAGAACTAATGTTATTTTAATGAAAGAAATAGTGAAACAAGAAGAAAAAAGAATTGTTTAATATGCTCATATATATAAATGATAATGTATATTTGTACATTAGTTTTAAAAATGGTCCATAGTAATGATTGATAAGTCTGCTGTGTCTTTATCAACCCAATGTAATTGCGCATCATCCTTTTATGAAAATAAGGTGATTCTCTCTATGTTTGCAACTGCGTTTCCAATATCCAAGATAAAACATTACGATGGTGAAGGTAACACCAAATTGAATTAGAAATTAAGAAAATTGCTGGAATTTTATTATGTTATGAAATTTTTTTTTATTTATATTTGTTTATTTAGAAACATTACATTCTGTCACATCAAGGACATTTATAATAGTGTTCAGAGAAAGCACACTCACACTCTATTTACAATAAAAAAAAAATAATACAGAAGCTTAATAATAATAAATCCAATAAAATAAAATAAAAATAAATACAATAAAATAAAATAAATGTATATAAACAAAAGAACTAATCTAATCATAAACACTCGGGCTTGAGTGGAGGATCTGGCCATTGCCAAAACTCCAATAGATGCTTATTTACAAAAGGTTTCTGGGCCACTGCCGCTTCAACCTTCGAGGAGGATTGTAAGCAAGGGTGGTGCTGGATAGAGATTGTGCAAGGGGATTTGGATGATAGGTAAGGTTCTGGTGAAATTTAGAGAATTTTTCTGGAATAAGGTCTAGGACAAATGGGATATTAAGGTCATGGTGTAGGATTTTGTTATTTACATAGAACGGAGCATCGACTATTGTTCGAAGGACTTTAGATTGAAAGGATTGAATACGTTTGATGTTAGAAGCTTTTGCTGTCCCCCACAGTTCAAGTCCGTATGTCCATATATGTTTCAGTATTGTCTTGTAGATAGGTAATTTGTTTTCAATAGAAAGTTTGGATTTTCTGTTTAGTAGTCTGTATAGCTGGCCGTATCGTCGGTTGAGTTCTTGTCTTTTGAGTCTAGTATGTGGGTTCCACGTTAGTCTTCGGTCTAAATGAAAGCTAAGATACCGGACTGTGTCTGAGTAAGGAAGCTGGATGGAATTAAAGTGTACTGGTGGACAGGAACTGCGTCGCAGTGTAAAGGTAATATGTTGGCATTTAGATTCATTAACTTTAATGTGCCAGTTATTACACCAGTGCTCAATCAAGGTGAGGTGGTTTTGGAGATTTAAGGATGCTATGTTGGGATCTGAGTCGGATGATAGAATGGCGGTGTCATCAGCAAAAGTTGCTAGGAAGGTATCGGGATGGACAGGGATATCGGCGGTAAAGAGGATGTAAAGGACGGGACCCAATACGCTACCTTGAGGAACACCTGCCTCAATTGGATAGCAATGCGAAAATTCAGTACCGCAACGAACTCGGAAGGTACGATCTGAGAGGTAGGAACGGAGAACAAGGTACAAGGACTGAGGAAGATAGTTTTTCAGCTTGGAAAGAAGCCCGGCGTGCCATACCCGGTCGAAAGCTTGAGCTATTATGTTATGAAATATGTCTGAACTACCAAATAAATTATATATTTGCAACTGCGTTGCAACATATCAAACAAATTTGTTACTAAAGGAGATGGTCCGGGGTTGCGGTCATAAATAAGCTAAATAGTGGTAAAACTATTTTATTGAAAGCCAAGCCTATTTATGACCGCAACCCCGGACCATCTCCTTCCTTTATAATGCAACGGTCAACTATTAAATATTCAATAAATTTGTTACTGTTCGTTCTACTTTCTGTTTATTGATAATTATTTGTATTGTGTTCAGAAGATCTCTTTTTGGTCTTTGTTGAGTCTCACCAGGTATCAGTAAGGAAGAAAGGACGAGTGCATTTGGGTAATTAATAGTCGAAGGGATGAAGGAATGGTCCCTAAATTAAAACTTCTCCAAAGCCAAAAAGGTCTCCTTTAGGAAGCACACTGATTTGGCTATGAGATCAAAGTATTAAATATCAGTTTGAATTCCTGAATTTTTTTTTTCTGAAATATTAAAAAAATGGTTAAACCAAAAAAAGATGGATGAGACTTATGCAATGGCTGCAAAAGTGGTAGATCGTTAAAAGAGATTGATAATAGTCGATGTAATAAATAAAGTTTACAATTAAATACTTAAAACACAAAATTACTTACCCAAGTACAACTCTACTCTCGTTTGTACGAACACTCTTGCGGATTCGAATATTGTTGTGAAAAAGGCACTTACGATACCAATTTTGTAATCCGTCCATTTAAATATTCGGGTGAAAATATATGGAAATATCAGAGAACCTGTAATTATTTTTATTTAAACTTAGTGCATTAACATGAATAAAAAGTAAATTAAAACGAAATACTTTTTTATAAGATTTTCTACCTAGAGCTAGGATGAAAGCATAGTAAGCATCGATGAGTCCTTCTTCAATTATTGTGACTTTAAATGTTTGTTGAAGATAATACACTATGATGCTGTTTTCAGCTGAAAGAAAAAGTAATACATATCATAACTATTTGTAGAATTAACTACTACAAGATAGCTAATATATAATCTATACAAAGAGACATTTTATATTACTTTTTAAACAACGATTCAATATTTCTTTATTAAGTAATATTTCTTACCAACCTCTATAAAGTGGGTGTTCTTAATTAAACAATTAATGATCCTGGCCCGATCACCTCTCTGAACAACCTTTGACTTTGAGACAGTACTTCCTTAGGAGGCTTACTTACTTACGTACTTACTAACAAGAGGAGGCTACAGTCTGTGGGTCACCGATTTCAACCAAATTCTTTTTGATGACACTACAGTGAAAAATATTAGACATCTAATTCGGCGTTCGTTTCAATGGCCCTAGGAGGCGAGAAAAAAAATATTATATAGTATTTCTAACAAAATATATTTTATTTATTTCTGCCTATTTTTTGTTCGGATGTAAAGAGTGTTAAATAATATAACAATTTAATAATATTTATTAACCAAATAATATTTGATTTTTTTTTTATTTTTTTTTTTTTGTGGAGAATAAGAAAAAACATTGACTATTATATTAAATGAGGTATTACATATCACAAATTGCAAACACCAAAAGATGCTTCCAGTAAACTAGGCCAAATCAATTTTTGTTATGAAAAATTACGAGTTAGATTAATTTTTAGTATAATTTGAAACTCCTAAATATGTTTTTTTATAGAATTGCAAAATTTAATATTTGTTTTTCTCTTCATACTTCTATTCATACCTGTCATTATATAGTATTGTCAATAAGCAGATGTAATCTCATTGTAGAGAAAATTTTCATTTAAGGCATAAGGAAGATAGCAGGAAGGCAGCAGTACCTCTTCCTGGTCTTGGTCTGGTTCATAATTTACGAGAGGAGATCTCTCATCCAGCTCCTCTTTAGTTGTCTCCTGCTGGGCATGTCAGCTGTGGCCATGTTGTTGATAAGTCCGTTGTGATGTCCGTGTAGTTTAAGACGAAATTGGGTGTAGAGAGTACGCATGTGTTGGTCGATAGTTGTTTGTTGTAAGTCGGTATGTAAAGTTTTGTTGTTTGCGTACCAGGGAGCTGCTGTTATTAGTCTTAAAATTTTGGATTGAAATGATTGTAGTTTTTGTAAGTGCGTCTTTTTTGCAGAACCGTAAATTTGTGAGGCGTATGTCCGTATGGGTTTGAGTAGGTAAGTGTACGTTTTTAGTTTTTGTCTGATTTTTAATTTTGATTTGCATATACTCCCTTTCTATACTCTCCTTTTCAGTCGTTTGTTCAAATCTTTCGTTTCATTTTGACATTTGGGCACCAGATAGTGCTTCTTTAATATTTAATTTGATTAAGAAATACAAAATCGACTTCCGTAAACAAATCAGAATAAAAAATACATTACAAAAATGTTTGGGAAGATTTTCCTGATTTCTAATTTAAAAAAGAATGAATTCTAAAAATTATCGATGTGGGCTGGAACAGTTGCAATGCTGGTTTACGACGGTTTATACTAACGTTGAATTTGGTGAAAACCCTGAGAAGTTATATGACAAAAGTGTTAAATTTGCAATATTTGATTGCTATAAAAATTCATACTTCACATTCATACTTCGAGTTTCAAAGGACACTGAATACGAATCTAACTTGCTTTTTCATAACAAAAATTTATTTGGCCTACTTCACTGAAAGCGGGTTTTGGCTTTTGTAATTTATGATACATTATAATTCATTTAATACAATAATCGATATTTTTCTTGTTCTACACAAAAAAAAAAAAATGGTTGATAAATAATACCCTATAAACCCGGACAAAGCAAAGAAATAAATAATATATATTTTGTTAAAAAAAATATAATTTTTTTTCTCGGCTCCTAGGGCCCTTTGGAACCAACCCCAGGATATATGTTTTTCGATGTAGTACCTATCGCCAAAACATATTTGGATAAAATAGGTGACCCTCAGACTGTATCCTTTCCTTGTAAGTGTTGAACACAAAACCCTTCATGTGTTGTAGTGATACAGATTTTATTTATTTATTTATTAAGTAATATTACATTTTGTCAAAATTAATGTGTTTCATTAGAAAAATAATATTGGAAAAAATATATATATAATTAATACATAAAGCACATACCTGATGTATATGATTCAACCAATGCTGAGGAAACCATCATAAACCACAACACAGCTCTGTTACGGCGAGATCGGAAAACAACCTTTATATTTTGCCAGAGGCTATTCTTTTTGAATTTTGTGGGTTTTTTTTTCTTATCCTCGACCATGAAGACAGCGAGTGTGATTCCCACGATATGTAGCCCAATGACGACACAGTAAAAAGGAACATACCCGGTCGTACTCAGAATGAATCCGTAAATCACCGACGCAAGGCAATTGGCCACAAATAAAATGGAAAGCATCGTCTGCAATCTAGAAAAAAAAATTATCATCAAACTTAAAATAAGGAGTAATTTATAAATCTGATGATCAAATGTGAAATTTTTAATTTATTGAAGAAAAAAATCATATGTCATGGAGCCTTGAGGGTAAGGATCGAACTCTGACATGACACACTTAATCAATTTATTCCTGGATTTAACCCAACCTAGTCCAATGGTTTGTGACTGTACTACAACTAATAGCATTAAATTCCGCTTCCCGTTTTTCTTAAGATTCTGTTTTATTGAAAACTTGAATGAGAACTTAGCCTCACTTCTGATCCCATAATCTACTTAAATTAGATGGTCAGGATCGTAAGAGATGTTCGACAAACGCTTATAAAACTTATCTCGCATTAGCATAAGTATAGATCAGAATGCTAGCCGCTTTGTTCTCAAAAATTTTTACATTGGTACTTATATCAATACTTACATTTTAAATAAATTGTGAGACAGATATTCCTCATGAAGATCATTGGAATCCACAACTGGAAAGTGGTTGTTGAAAATGAACTTCACAGTCAGTTTGACAGCTACATCCCTTGATTGTAATAGGCTCTTCGCTTTTCTAGAGCTAGTTGAGGTATCAAAACAGCACTTATGTGTATTTATTATATTTCTATTAACATAATTATTCAAATTGGGGAATTAAGTCACTTAATTATTTTTAATAAACTACAAAATGATCATTGATCCTTCTGTTTATTCGACGTGTCGATCCTGTTGGGGATCAGTGGGATCTAAGGGTTTGCCCACTAGTCCAGTAGCTTAATATCTGTGCTGGTGGACGGTGCTGGGCTGTCGGTGTGTCCCTGTCCTGAGGTATCGAGGCTCTGTTTTAAAAGTATGTTGAATGTTGAAATAATTGTTATTTGAAACATATAGAAGCATAATTGTGCACCAATTGAGCTATTTGTTGTTCTAGCTTTGAAGAGGATCCCATTGTTAATTTAAAAAAAAAAATAGTATGGAAACGTCGAATAAAGATTAATGCACATTTTCTATTTTATTGAAAATTAACTAAGTGACCTAATTCCCAATTTGAATAATAATGTTAAAATATAATACTCAAAGATCGATTGAAGAAATTTTGTAAAAAAAAACCACAACAACATATATATATATATATATATATATATATATATATATAATATATATATATATATATATATATATATATATAAATATATATATATATAAATATATATATTTTCGGTTGGAACTACAGACCATGAAGGTATTTGGCCGCGAGATGAGGTCTCCTTACAGACGCATGTTACTTGAGCTCAGATAGCCAGGAGGGGGTCACCCAACCTCATGTTGCTACGAACCATGGTCTCCATTGTGCAGCGGCAGGCCACCCGTAGCTCCATAGCCGATCCCTTTGAGGCCAATCTGGCAGTGTCCTTCCCACAGATTCACTCGGGTCGAAGGACAGTGACAAATCGGTCTAGATCTATGGATTATAGCTGCTCGGAATCAGAGGCGCACGAGGACCTATATTTCTTTCCCCGAAACAGACTCTCCATGGACCGAACCTCAGGGTGGCAACTAACATCCTGGTTAACCACATCCCGATTCCCGATTTAAGTACACGTGGTAAGGTCATCAGTCCTACTCCCGGTCGATGTGAATTGCCTCCAGTAGGCTTATGGGTCTCACATACCCGAGGGGGGGAAGAGAGATTCGGGCAGCCTGGCTTTCCCTGGTGGACGGTCACCGAAATCGGGCGGTCACCCATCCAAGAGCTAACCACGCTTGACGCTGCATAACTTTGATTACCTATGGCAAACGCCTTAGACAGTACGGCTACCCCAGTCCTATATATATATATACATAACTAAAGTAAAATAAACATATATATATATATATATATATATATATATATATAATTTCTACCTGTTCAAGGAGAGAACCAATTTATTTCAAAATTTACTAATTAAATATATGTTTTGAATACCAGTGAAGTAGTTGAGGCAGAAGCGCAGAGATCTCCAAAGCCAAGCTTTTCTCTCCACAAGTGGGGTGACAAGATTGATTCGGAGTTCCCCTGGCTTATTGTATACAGATAAGTTTGTGTCTAAGATGTTTATTTTACTTTAGTTAAGTTAAAAATATATATATTTAACATGAATAAGAAAAAGTTAGGTACCACAGACCTCACTGCTGTGATGTACTAGATTAATTGTTACAACAAAAAAGTTATTATCAGATATCCTTTCCACGGGTATCGTATTACCAATCAAATATTATATAAATAAACGCATTAAGAATATTTCAATGAGGATGCTTCAAGAATGTGAACTTGTCTAATCACTCTATTATTTTATAGATTGCCAACAAAGATTTACAAAGTTGAGTTTTGAAGTGATATCTGAATTTAGTAAGGAATCACTTTGTAGGAATATTGTGGAATCTTCAGTTACTGCCTTCTTCTTGTCCCTGGTGTAGCTGATGTCCTATCGCTCTTAATTTTTGACTGTCTCCTGTCTGCCCAACGATGCAGTTTTTCCTTTATTTCTAGGCACATCTTCGTTTCCTTAAAAGCTCCTCCACTAGACAACCTGCCTACATGATATCATAACCGACTTCTGTTTCTTCTCTAAGGAAGTCCACTTCCAGACTCGCTCGTTCCCATCCAAAAATATTTTCAATTAATCTTTTCCCCACTTATTTTAAAACCTTTCTTATTAGTCGATTTTCTGTAATAGGAGAGGAGGATAAAACATGTTTTGTGAAACATAAAAGATTCTATTGATTTCTGAAATAGCCCGAGTTTATCTTTGTAAAAATATTTGAGCGTCGATATTCGATGATATTGATGATATATGATTATATTCGAGGGATCAGCCCTTGGTCCAGGTCCATGGTTTTTGGTGAGTTGCTTGTCGTCTTTGAAGAAGATCGGCTCCCAGTTACTGCCTACGTTGACGATTTAACTGCACTTGTGGCGTCTAATAGCAGAGCCGGCCGCAAGATAGAGAAGAAACGGTGAGCCAACCTAGTGAAAAGATGGTGTGGAAGTGGTAAAAAGTTGAAGATGGACGCTGCTAAAAGCAGATCATACTACTTAGAAAGAAAACTGACAGGGCCTATCACCTTACTGATCCAAGGGGAGAGAATTGGTCCAAGTGAGATGATAACTTACCTTGAAGTGAGATTTGGAAGACATTTCAACATAATGCCTCACTCGGACTACTTTACAGGTTTACCTTCCCACTTGATATTCTAAGTCGAATCGAAAGAGCTATCTGAAGTCTCAGATATCCGACGTCTAAAAATAATCTATAAAGGAGAAGTATTCTGGGGTACGAAGAGTTCGTTTATGGCGGAAAGATGATGATGTGACCTGAACACTTCAATCTCGGTGTCTTTAGGTGAAGGAGGAAGGCAGAAGAAAGAATAATCCAAAATAGATAGATAGATTCCCTGAAAGTAAGAAGTTCAATTGAACAACAGAAAACGTCCAAATGACAGAGGTAGCTACGTATTAAGCTTAATAGATGTATCATTTATTATGCTAACCTCGCCCAAACTTATATTACCTTAAGGCAAGGCAGAGTGCAAATAAATAAATTTGAGATTTGGCAAAAGTAGCCAGCCATACCTTGTTACCTTGTTTTTCCTGAAATTGTCAGTGTTGACAATATTTAAATTTTTCATTACTAAACTTACTCTATTTATTGTTATTTCGTGGAATAAATTCCAATTTCATAAAAAAAGAAGTAGTCATCATCAACTTTGATATACAGCAAATAATTATTATTAACGATTAGTAATTTTGTTTTGTTTTTTAAAAGAATATATATATATGGTATACATTATGTATTTCGCACTCACCTCATTGTTCGGTTCTCAGGTGTAGAGTTGTCGATTATGATGCAACTGACTCCGAGAAGGCAGATGGTCTCGCCGAACAGCCCACCGACTACAGACTCCAAGCAACCTGTGACCTCGGGTGACAGAGACCATACCATGGAGGAAATCAGATAGGTGACGGCTCCAAAGGTCTCGGCTACCATCCCAGCGACGACCAAGGGTTTACTGTTCCCAGTGTGGTCGCGCCAGCGGGCGAACAGAGGAACGCAAAAAGATGGTAGTAAGGATCGCACTATGTTTCTTCCTGAGGCCATTTCTAAAACATTAGTAATAACAATTAATATTTACCTCGATTGGCTTGATGAATTTTATGATTTAGATATTAGTAAAAATTATTTCGAGTTAAGAATTCATTTTATCTATTTATCTAATATACTCGTAAATTGGCCAGTATGACGCAAAATTTTCGAAAATAGAATATCTGGGACCATCAATATTTATAATTTTCATGCACACAGGTTTGGCACTTTCTTATTTTTGTAATTGGTGCCACAAATTCACGAACTCCATATCATCCTAAGCTCTTGCGCCTCGCTAGCCGCAAAAATAGGTGAATTTGCAGCCAAGTTAGTTTTTATTGATCATTTTGATTTCCTTTTGAAATTATGGGGTCATAGTCTTATGTTTGTTGGCTTTGCATCATTTGTTTTTGAATCTGAGCAATATAGATATATATGCCTTTTGTTTAGGGAGGGAGTGGGGTAGTTCAGTGGGTGAGCACTGACTTCCAGAGCACAAGATCTCAAGTTCGAATTCACCTGATGACTAGTAATTTTTCATAGCCGTGGATCGACCCAGAGGTCAGGAGACCATCCTGAGGCTCACCCATCGGTATACTCATAAAGTGGGTATTCTTAATTAAGTAATTAATTAAGAGGAATAACCTGGCAGTTGAGCGTGATATCGGCCCAATCACCTCTCTGCACAACTTTAGCCTTAAAACAGTACTTCCTCACATTGTACCAAGGCCATTGATTGGGTTGTTAGTGGTATAGATTTTGTTGTTTAGGGGCATTCCATTCGAAAATGATAAGCGTCAAAGTTGTGCCCTTTCATTAATCATATTAATACCAATAACAGATACACTGAATAAAACATTCATAAATCTTATAAATCATGTTTGTATTTTATTTTATAACAGTAAGTTCGTAGAAACGTCAGCTTTCCAAAGGCGCCGACTTCTGACAATTATTGGGGAGCTGGAGAAATCAGGAAGAAGCTATGGTAAACAACCCATCAAGCCTGTGTCCCTGACCAAAATAGGATACCACTAAATACATTCTACTACGTCAGTTAGAAGATAAATACAATCCTTTGGAATGTACACGAACGATATGTGCATGTAGTTCATACAATAGCAATTTGTTGGGGGGAGAAGGGAGGAGAGGAGGAGGCTGAGTCTCCACAACAGTAGCATTGGGGAATTGGGGGCTTTTAATTGGAGGAATCGGAGAGTTTTTAAAGTACAACGCCGCCCGAATTTCCTCCAGTCACTGACCACAGCTTACCAGGAAAAGAAATTGCGAGATTATTTGAATGTGTGTTGTTAACTTGGCCCTAGTTCCGACCTAGATGCGCTAATTCTAAACTGTTGTTGTTATTTATACAAGAAATTTCTGTTCAGAGTGAAATAGCCGGAAATTAAATACAATTTTTAGAATAAAAATGATTGCAACTGTTTTTGTTTCATTCATTCTTATGTTTTGTTTATTATAATATTCAGGGAATTTTGTAAATAAATATTTAAATGCATTTTCTATGTTCCCTTTCATATAGGAACTAGGATAAATGACTGCTTCTTCACCATCCCGGGACCTTTCAACTGAAGGAAACTTAGTTAAAGAGTTATCTTAAAAAAATAGATATTAGCATATAAATTTATATGACTATAAACTAATTACAATGACTTAATTCTCAATAAATAACAGTGTAATCCTTTATCTAGTGTCACTGACGTACTTAGGAAAGTCAATAATATTTTAATGAGATACTGCCAGTAAATTCGATAACATAGCAAACACGCGTGTTCCCGATAATGAGCAACGAAGACATAACTATTTTGAATAATATTTTTCCTCTTTTGTAAATAATAAAACAAGATATTCAATACATACGTGTCGCTTTTATTACAAGATTGGTGCTGTTACATATCGAATCGATCTCCGTCTTCTCGGATGGACTTATCCATGAGCAACTCTTCTCCATGAGGAAGTCTGGAACTGCTGCGAAGAACATGGAAGTGGCAAGGTGGCTGATGAAAATGGCGGGTAAAACGCTACAACCACACAGGTCTATTCGGAAAGCCATTGCACCCCAAGTTCGACTTAGTCAAAACTGGCTCATCATACGAGTATATCTTATCGTGCGTTAGTTGGCTTATCATATAACACATTATAATTATTTTTTTGTTTAAACAGCTTTTTGCGATTTAATACTCAATCAACGTTAATCGTTTCTAGAAGTACCTTCTATTGGGTTTGATAAACTACGCATTCATTTCTATAATTACGAAAGGTTCTCCGTAAATGGTGGATGACGACACATCCAATTTCCATAACAGATTTTATATTAATTTGCATGAAATGCTCGTAACCACAATTTCTACTTACAATTGCTGTTCAATGTTCACTTGCAAGCACCACAATAGCTCTAATCCTAAAAGCAAGTGACTGGAAAGTTGTTAGCTAGAATTAGGGAACAAGTAGCCAATGGTGAGCCTTGAGTTTAAATATTTTTTGTAAAACAAGATGTACAAAATTACTACCATACAATGTGGTTTTCATTAAATCCGATCCAAAAATTATAAATTAATCTTATCTAAAGTCTTCTTCTAAATTTTAGTCCCTACTTTGTTGCCGTTATTATTTATTTCTTAGTTCGCTGATGCTGTTATTATTCTACCTAATTTATTTTACTTAAAGTTTATTCTATTCGGTTGACACATGTATCCTATTAGTTAATAACGATCCATCAATTACATAACAAACTCTTCAATCACACATCACAAATCTTGAAGAATGGTAAAAAAACTGGTGGATTAAAATAAATTCCAATAAATCCCAACAAATCACCTTTACCCTTCGTCGTAAATCTATAGCGGCTCCCTGTCATTTAATAACACCCACGTATCCCTGTTGAACAAATCCGATACCTAGGACTCCATCTGGATAAACGTCTCACTTGGAATCCTCATACAAGACTGAAACGACAAGAAACTGCTCGACGTTCCCGCTTACTCCAACACTTATTAGACAAACGCTCTAAAATTCCAATGTATTACAAAAGACTAATATACCTAACTATAATAAGACCTATTTGGACTTACGGAGTTGAGCTTTGGGGCTCCACTAAACCAAAACCATCAAATTCCTCTCGGATGCAATCCAAAATCCTTTATAAAATCCTCAATGCTCTTTACTTTGTCACAAATAAAATAATTCATAAAGACCTTAATGTTCCATATAATTCCAATTTGGCTCAATCCAGATACTTATTGCTTCCTCTTCAATTCCTCATAACCTTCCGAGGTGTCTGAAATAAAGATGGCCTCGTGATCTACTTATATAGACATATTATTAAAGCGCTACTAGTGGGTAGTTTCACAACAAATATTTTCATGTGACTATATTCCTGTGTACACATTTACACGATGTATTTATATTGTAATACCATTGTAAATATCTTGAATAAAAAAAAAGTTTATTCAATCTACATTTTTAGACTATACCTTTCACCTACATATTATTTATTTTTTTTATTTTTTATTATTTAATGTTATTAGTTTCTCATACCTATTGTTATCTGTTTTTTCCTAGTCCCGATGAAGGCCTGAACTTTAGTCCGAAACGTCGGCAAAAATAAAAATAATTATACTTATTTATTTTTATTTTTTGGCTTATCACCGACCATTCTTCTATTCAATTTATTTTAATTTTGGGGAGGGGCATTATGACAGTAATAACTTGGAAAGAAAAAAAAAATATTTTGGAATATTTTTTCTTGACCCCCGTATAAATTTAGTAGCTGTTTAATTCATGTTTCATAATTTTAAAAGAGTACTTATTGTGATTTTTTAAAAATATTTAGTTGGATTATTATTTTATATATTTTTCCATGAAACATATTTATTTAACGAAACTGCTACAAACTATAATATGAAACATTCTCGAAGTTCAGTTTTACAAAAAGGCACATCTAATTCTCTTAGTGTTATATTTTTTTTAAATTACATGTTTGGGTGTTTCTGCCATTCCATCCCATCACACCACGTGTACACATTTCAGAATAAAATTGAAGTAAATATGATTAGAGAAGGGTGACGAGTGGAAGCCCATAATTTCCACTCCTCTCAACTCTGTCTCCATTCTCAGCCTTTTCAATTTGTTTGTGTCTCAGGGCTATATCTAACAAATGGTAGAGAGGAGAGCTTTGCATCAAGTTCAGAATACAAAGTAGGAGATAAGTCTTTCCTATTGACCGCCTCTCCAGACATATATAAGTCTCATCATAGTAAATCAAGCTTAAGGGTGGATATGAATAAGTTCTTGAAGATCGTACTCGAAGTCCACGCGCCTCCTCCTTCTAGGTAAGTAATATTATATCTTGATAAAGATGGATAAATATAAGTATTGTCTTTAAGGTATGTCGAAGTCATTTATTGAAATTTATAAATTACCAAACAAAGCTATAGTTAAATAAAATAATAAATCTGGTAGCTGAAGATTTTTTTTCTGGCTGTGTTAGAAGAGCGTAGAAAGGGTGTGGGAAGGAGGAGAGAGAAAATTAAATAGAAAACTCATGTTTTTTCTTGGACGATCACACCACTATGTTTGATTCATCCATTATATGTAAATTTCTTTAAAATAAAAGACAAAATATAATTTATTTTTAACAGATATATAATAATAAAAGGGCTACAAAAACCCGAAGGTTCGATGCCGATGCAACTCCGCCAGATCTACCTTAACGGTATCTTTTCATCTTCCTTTCATCGGACGTTTACCCTTCGGCACAACACATATTAGCTTTTTAGTGATTCTTTCATTACCAAGCCCAACAGTTCTACATGCCTATTTAATTCGCCGTAACATAATCACCTCAATTATATTAACTGGTATAGACCAGGTAATTCGGCGTTGTGTAACTATCTAAATGCTTCATTTGACTCATCATAGGTCTGAATATTCCGCGCAGTACTTCATTTTTAAAAATCTTAAGACGCTGCTCATCCCTTTATGTAAATACACACATTCATTAATACAAATTTATTCTGTTCGTGCAGTGTATCTGGATTATGCTTATTTTATGTTATCAGCTCAGGATCTAGGAAACTGTATTATACTACTTTTAACTATCGATTTCAGTGAAAATCAAGATCACGGAAGTCAAAAGCAAAACGTAGAAAGATTTTGAAAGAAAGCTGGAAGACAATTTCCGAGACAATCAGAAACTGTTCTACAGAATGCTTCGAAACATGAGCAAAGAGAAAGAACATTTTATAAAGCAATTAAAGGTAAGGAAAAAAATATACTATTAAGCATTGAAGGAATCATGCATAGATAAGCTGAGTATTTCAAGGAACTTTTGGACGAAAATCGGAAATCTGAATGGTCCAATGTGATTGAGGCGGAAGAAGATTTTATCAATGAAAAAGAAATTGTGGATATACGAACCAAAGGGGAATAGTTCTATTCCAGCACATACTAAATCTCGTGGTAAACCAAGATTATTCCAAAGAATTGGGATGTATCTGTCACAGTCCCAAAATTTAAGAAAGAGGACAGTTAAAGAATGTTAAAACCACTGGTGAATATCTTCTCTTAAAGGCATATGTAAATATACTCAAAGAGTTTAGAGAGGCGAATACGAAGAACAGTTGAATCTTCCCTGAGTGAAGAACAGTATGAATTCAGGTTAAACAGAAGTTCCCAGTAAATTTTGTAAATTGCAAAACTTTTTACAAAAACTTATAGGTACCCCTAACCTTTGTAAACGGATTAAATAACAAGAAAAGTGTAATTTTGAGAAGAATATTTGCTTGGACCACAATTAATACACATATGCTTTAATAGTTACAATCCCAACTCCTTATCTGTTTGATATATTTATATTATAATCACAGGCGGATCTACGGGGGAGCTTTCGGGCTGAACCCCTCCTCCCCCCCAAAAAAATGGTAAAATATAACTATGTTTAAAGAAAAAAATTATATCTAAAAGTACTACTGTTCGTCTAATTACATTTAATAGGACTTAAACAATCACTTAAACATCATTTCATATAGGTAGCTAGTTTCTTTCTTCTGGAGTAATTACCCTAATATATACATACAAAAAAAAAATCTTTCAGACTAAAGTCCCCCCCAAAATTAAATCTTGGGTCCGTTAGGGATTATAATAATATTTATTCATATAAACTTCTCCTGGTACACACACATTGCAAAATTAACGAACATGTACCAATCATTAAGTTTTTCAATGAAGCTTCTCCTTCGAAGATAAGGTTAAGATTGTCTCCTCGGAAGCGGTGGTACAGAGCTGAAGAAAATTCTATTATATTTGGCGTAGAAGTGAAAATGTGACTGGCATTAATTCGATTTAATTCCAGCTTACAAATGTTGACGGGAGAGAGCTCTGTCATCGGCTATCTCAGACAACAGCTCGAGGAGAGCCATTTATTCTTGCTCCTCTTGTCTAGCTACTTTATCATCTTTTCATGTTCTCCTCCATTATACCACCTCTCCTCCGCGCCGATAAATTACTCTAAAAGGACGAGCAATTTTCGGTTATGCTTTCGATTTTCCCGTCGACCTACTAGCTGGCCCAGCTAGTATAACCGTCCTGGATAAATTCAAGCATCATGTTTCCATCTAGGAATTTTCGCGCAAAGCAAATAACAACTGAGTGTAGGTAATTAAGCAAATGTTATCCTGTACCCAATTTCCTCAAAAAGTATTATTAATAAAAAATAATATAACTAATAATAAATTATTTAAAACAAAAAGTAGTCAAATTCAGAAAAAGTACAGAAAACTAAAAAAAAAATTGTATTAATATAATATCATATAAATATTATATCATAAAAAAATTATTATTAGAAAATAATAGATTGTTAATGCAATAGTGAAAAAAATTATATATTTTTAGTTTATCTTTCATTCAATCCCAATTACAAAATATTTTATAATCTCTCTCTTCCTTCTCTGAGTGACTGAGTGCATGATTAATCAGATGAATAACTATGTAAGATCAATGAAGACTCAGGCAAATTATTTTAATTATAATCAGGTATTTCCTTGAAAATGACTT